CCCCCCCCCCCCCCCCCGGCTGCCCACTCTTATGCCAATTGCAAGCCCCAGGTTGTTTTATCTGTGCTCCAGACTGACAAGCTATAAATCAGGGTTCCTACAGCCTCCTCCTCAGGTTCAAACTAATTTGCTAGAGCAGAACATAGAACTCAGGAAAACACTTTACTTACACTTACTGGTTTATATAAAAAATATTACAAAGTATACAGATAAAGAGATGCAAAGGGCAAGGTAATGTAAGAAGAGGCATGGAGCTTCCACACCCTCACCGGGAGCTTCAAGCTATTCAGAAACTCCCGAACATAGTCCTTTTGGGTTTTAAGAGAATCTTCATTATGTAGTCATGATTGCTTTAATCATTGGCCACTGGTGATCAAATTAACCTTCAGGTTGAGGGGCAAGGCTGAAAAGGCCCAACCCTCTAATCATGCCTTGGTCTTTCCTGGGACCAGCCCCCATCCTGAAGCTACCTAAGGGCTGCCAGACACCTGTCATCTCATTAGAATACAAAAGACACTCTTGTAACTCCAGAGATTCCATGGATTTTAGGAGCTATATGTCAGGAAACAGGGTCAAAGACCAAATATATATTTCACAATATCACAACTTGGTTCTCCCAATTTCCAAAAACTTAACATAGAATTCAGTAATATATAAAAAGAGTTACACAGCATGACTAAGTGGGGTTTACTTCAGGGATGCAAGGCTGGTTCAATATACAAAAACCAATCAGTGTAATCAGTCATTTGACAAAATTCGACATCCATTCATGAGAAAAATTCTCAGAAAAAATAGGAATAGAGGGATCCTTCCTCAACTTGATAAAAAACATTGGTAAAAAACTTGGAGCTAACATTATACTTAAGAATGAAAGACTGAATGCTTTCCCCCTAAGATTTGGAACAGGACAAAAAAATGCATTCTCACCACTCTTATTCAACATGGTGCTAGAAGTTCTAGCTAGTACAATACAGCAATGCAAGTGAATACAAGACATATAGATTGGAAAGGAAGAAATAGAACTTCCCTATTTGCAGGTGTCAGGTTGTCTATATAGAATATCCCAAATAATCCACCAAAAAATTCTTAGAACAAGTAAGTGCTTAGCAAGGTTACAGGACACAAGTATTAACATACAAAATCAACTGTATTTCTATATACTAACAATAAATGTGGATATCCAAATTAAAAATACCATATATAGTTGTTTTCTAGTTTTTTATTTTATGTTAAGGTCTATGATCTGTTTTAATTTTTGGGAAAGGTGTAAGGTCAATGCGTATGTTCATTATTTTGCATGTGGATGTCTAGTTGTCCCAGTTCTACTTTTTTAAAATTTTTAAAATTTTTTTTAAAGATGACCAGTAAGGGGATCTTAACCCTTGACTTGGTGTTATCAGCACCACACTCTACCGAGTGAGCCATGGGCCGGCCCTGTCCCAGTACTATTTATTAAAAAGACTACCTTTTCTCCATTGAATTGCCTTTGCTACTCTGTCAATGATCAGTTGACTATATTTGTGTGGGTCTATTTCTGAGGTCTCTATTCTGTTCCATTGATATACTTATCTAATCTATTCTTTCACCAATATCACACTGTCTTGATTATATAAAACACACACAACATATATAAAACAGGAAGTCAACTATAAATGGGAACAAAGGTTTTGTTTCTTCTTTTTCCCTTCAAAGTATTTTAATCAAACATTTTCTTGCAAAAAATAAAAAATAAAAATGTCAACAAATCTGTCACTTATGTACAAAAGAAACAGCTTAAGAGAGAATGTGGGGATCACAATTTCCATTTACTGTTGGTTAGATAAATAGCTTAAAAGGACTGAAAATCCTGAAAAACTACCTGAATTATAAAGAATCTATGTAACACTAAGAAAGCATTTTCTAATTTGTTTCTGAAACCTCTAAAAAAAAAAAAACGCTTCATGTATCAATATAAGCTAATCTGCTTTACATAAATAAAAATGGAACTATACTTTGCAT